AAATTGAATATATAACAAGATTACAAAGAAAAAGATTACATAAAAACATGAGTTTCACTAGATCCTAACTGCATTCTCACTGCATCCTCTTCAGTTGAACAAAATGGTAAATACAAAAAATTAAAAAAAAAATTTGTCAAAAATTGGGGGGGGGGGGTCCAGGACCCCCGACCTCCTCCCCTGCTCTAAGTCACATTTATCACAATTGGAAAACACTTAAAAAAATTCACATTCTAGAACTCAGAAACAACATGACAACATCTACAGTCAACTTTTAAAAAATATAAAATAATAAACGGGAAATAAATATACCTTGAGATCATCCTCAATCTTGGCAATTTGTACACGAATGCCATCTACAATCTCCCTAAGTGGAGACATTGTCGGATATTTTGCTTTATCCCAGACAAATCTAAGGTCACAGAATTTCACCAAATTCAATTTCTCAAAAAAGAAATTTTAAATTTTAAAATAAATCCATAAACAAGTAAGCGTGAAGATTTACCTAGTGAGATAAGAGTCAACATGCACGCCATCAACTGTGAGACTTTCATTCCAGATTTTTCGCACAGAGCCCTAACTGCAGCCATGAACTCATCGCGTTCTGGGCAAAATTGGACTTGACCCATGGTTGGGCAAAGTGCGCCAGGTGGGGAGGAAGATAACACATGTGGTTCTCGACCATGGGTCAATAGGGTGGCGTTGGAATTTTGATTATTCGGATCCAGCTTCGCGACGGACAGAACTTCTGGAATAAATTCAGGTTGTTGAGATGATGTTTGGGGTAAATTGGTGCCATAGTTAAGGTCGCCTGGTTGTGGGCTTTCGATCGGTGGTGAGTTCCATTCATGATGGTGGCCGGATGTGGAGTTTCCGGTGAATTTCAAATTTGCAGGCAGCGAGCTTTGAGCAGCGATTCCGAGCACCATGGTTGATGAAATTGGAAGGTGTTGGGTGGTAAATGAAGAGAAAGTGAGGGGCTTTCTAGTGGTATCAAGGTCCGGTGGTCTTGGTGGACGTGGTTTTCCGAAATTTTGTTCCATAATGGGTGAAAAAATCCTGAACTCCAATCTTTCTTGGGATGGAACTTGAGTTAAGGGAGGGAGGCATGCACGAGTAGGGTTTGGGTTAATTTAAAGAAGTATAGAAGTTTTCGCAACGTTTAGTAAACGTTGCAAAAGGTTAAGCAATTGAAACTTTTCGCAACGTTTATCAAACGTTGCGAAAAATGATACATTTCGCAACGTTTATCAAACGTTGCGAGCAACGTTTGATAAATGTTACAAAAGTAGACTTTTCGCAACGTTTGACAAACGTTGCGAAAAGCTTTTCTTTTAGCAATGTTTGATAAATGTTGCGAAAAATAAAACCTTCCGCAACACTCAATAAACGTTGCAAAAATGGGTCTATCGCAACATTTTTCTATAAAACGTTGCCAAAACTCATTTATTAGTACCAATAGCAATATTCACTTACTAAAATGTTGTCAAAAGACCCTTTTAACAACATTTATCAACAAATGTTGTCTTTTTAGTGTTGCAAATGACTATTTTTGTTGTAGTGATTGTTAAAAAATGACTTATGAATAGGGTTGTTCTGACATATTTATTGGTGGGACCCGTTTCTTCTTTTTGAAGATCTAAGTAGATTTATGTTCTCCTTTGTGAGAACATTAAAATCATATATTTACTTCCAAAAATTAATGCTTGGGTGAATGATAAATTAGAGTTGAAAGTGGAACTATTTGAAGAAGTTTTTGTGCTCGACGGAAAATAATTTTAGTCTGTCTCACATAAAAATGGACAAGGCAATAATTAGTTTATATATCACCACACTTTCGAAAGGAAACTCATTGAACAAATAGCTTAATCCATTTAGGAAACTCGTTATCAAATTGCAAATAATTTTTCCAGTTTTTCTGTCTTTCTACTATAAAAGTTTTGGTGGTAGTGTTCAAGTACAAATCCAGTTTATCAGTGTAGAAACTCAGTGCTTAGTTTCCACAGGCTTCTTTATCTTGTCCTGGATCATATAGAAATTATATGACACCTCAAACTTACGGTGAGAGAGAGAATTAGTTTTAAAGATACTGTGTTTAAATATTCCTCAATTTGTAATTTCCTCTCTCGAGTTATTCTAAATCTTTTTCTCCGTAGTTGTTAATTTCCTGTTTTGTTCTTTTTCAGAATAACTATAATATTATGTTTTGCAATTTTACTAACACTTGTTTCATTGATGAGATAAACACTACTGACGACAACATCGGCACTATAATCAGCTTCAAAATTGTTTGGTTTATCTCTCTTTTTTTTTTTTTTTTTCATCTTTTTCTTGATTTCTCCATGATCCTTCCATAACAAGGGGAAGATAGTCGAATAATTTAATAGTTTAAACTTTAGATAGAGTGATAGGAAATTAAAACCCATCAGGAAATTAAAGCCTATCATTATCTCTAAATGTACACAACCTGTGTTGTAAGGGGCGGAGTCACTATCCGACAAGCCGGAGCGACTGCTCGTGTTGGCTCTGCCGAAAAAAGAATTACATATTAATGAAA